CTAATGGATGTCTTTTTAATACACCTAATATGTTTGTTAAAGATCTCACGTTAAAAATTAATATCTTGCTGCTTTGCAGTAACTCAATATATTAGGCAATTTTGCGTCTTGATGTTTTTCCAAAAAACGGAGGGACCTACAGCTCATACAAAAGCCTCCGATTTAAGCCAGAGCTTTCCTAAAGGCGGGTATGCGATGTTAACCACTCGGCTACCGTGACCGCCGACATGAAATTAAATTTATCATAAAAATAAATCACCAGGCGGAAGTGGCTAAGAATAAACTGTAGACCTCTCATCCCTCCACTTGTTTCAAAAACATCAAGACGCAAAACTATGAATTGGAGGAGGGGATCGCCAAAAATCGCTTCAGCGGCCATTCATATAATTTAAACAACATGCTTAAAATTACTAATAAAGTTCTATCTAATTTTATACATTTTAATAAATAAATTTCATTCAAGGAGGATGAGCTCGGCCGCAGCTCGCACAAATACACATTTTTTAAAAATAGCTTAACCTGAATTAACGAAAGCTATCGTTTAATGCAAATGCAAATGATTTTTGGGGTTAAATGTTATTTGGTAACACTGGGATATGATAAACTAAAACCTTTGAATTTGTCACCCAAAAAAAAATAATTAATAATTAGATTTTAAAGTAGTAGTAGTAAGTTGATTGCGATTCTAGACCGTAACCTCTTACTCAATACCACCATTTTTAGTATGAACACCTCCTATGTTATTTGGAAATAATAGCAAACATGCTTATATTTTTTCTTTTTATCTTTCTTCAGCTTTTTCAATAAATCTTTCTTAATTTCCTGCTGCTCTTCATTAAATTGTAAGGCTTCTTTAAGTTTATCTTTACAACTCTTTTCGCTACAATGTAGACCCTTATCAGGATGATCCAAGCGCTCTCTGTTTTTAGACTTATTATCCTTTTTCTTTTTAACTTTGTCCTCTTTCAACTTTTTTAATCTTTTATGATCTTTCTTTTGTCTCTGGAGTTCCATATTTAAGGGAAAACCTCGTTAACTTCTATGTTTGTAGATGATAACGAATTCTCAAATGCATTAGATGGGTAAATGTCTGTTTTTGATAAAGAGAATGAAGATGCGACGGTTGCTGTTAAACTTGTTGAGGGTATGGTTTTCGAAGAATATGCTGAACCAGTAGATATAAGAGGTATTAAATCGGATCCACCTGCTAATTTACCAACGCCACCTTTCTCCGTACTTAGCAGATCTAATTGAGGTAGATTATCCGTTGGAATAGAGAATTTCTTTTTCGAATTCTTAATAAATTTATTAGCCTTTTTTGACTTCTTGAAGCGGAATACCACCTGTCGGTGTTGGTGTCGCCTTTTCATGTGTTTCCCAAATATCAGGTGTTTTTGGAATTTTTTCACCTTCGGTATTCGACTGCTGAAATTTAGAAGTTCTTGGACAGTCTCTTTCTGACTTTTTTATTTCAGATATTGGTGGTGAAAATTTCATCGATTCGGGAACAAACGGTGGTACATTGCAATAACTACGTTCTGCAGGAGGAGACTTCTGCTCCGTTGGAAAGACCAGTAAGAGTGGGACCTGACTTGGTATCTCCGATTGGCGCCAAGCATCGAGAAAAAAAAGTTACGAATTCGGCTAAAATCGCGTAGGCGGTGTCTACGCCAGTAAAGTAAGTAAGTAAACGTCCATTATGTCCAAATCAAAAAAAAAAAATTATATTTGCTAATATCATTTTATATTTGCTGTTTTAACCCCCTGAATAGTTTAAGCGTGTTGGTGGCAGCATGCGGAAAAATTAAATAGATGATGAGTAAGTAATTAAATTGAAGTCAGTCCTGATTCCCTATGAAATCACTTGCAAGCATTACTTGGTGTATTTGAACCATAATCCTCCGTTTTATATATAAAATGCACACAAGTTTAATAACGATGAATTTTTTAATTGCAAAAAACCACACAACAAAATCAAATTAATTGAAATTAGAACATGAAGAAAATAAACCACTATATTATGTTTAGTATAGATAATTAAAGGCTTTGAAACATTTTTTTTTAAATTGATGTGTTAATACTAATACTACTTGTGAAATTTGAGTGAAAATTTGGGTTTAATTACTCAAAACTGACATTTACTTTTTTTATTCCGTTTTCGTTTTTTGTCAGTGGCATGGACACCTTCCTTGCGGGTTATGCAAACGCGACGAAAGCAGTCTTCATCTTTTGGGGCAACACATATTTCAACGCATATCCTGAAATAAATAAATAGAAATAACTAAGTTGACAAGTTTAAAATAATGTACATACAAATAGTACCAGGCATCACAGCCATCACAGCCAATCATGGGAGAGCCGTTATCATCTTTTGCCGCAGGGCAAATCCACACTCGATTACCATCAACATCCTTTTAAGTAACTTTACAAAAGTGAAAATTCTGAGTTCTAATTCTTTTAACTTGCGATATACGATGACGGGCGGCTTGTCTCTGAAATCAAAGGAACAGGACTTTGATGATCGGCGGAGGAAAACTGACGAGAAGCGGTAGTTGCGTTTGAAATTAGCCCGCCATCTGCAATATTGTTGTGACTTAGTTGCTCCTGGATCTTTGAAGATTGCAATAATTGCTGTGGGAGCAAAACTGAACTTGCTGATATTGTGCCACCTGATGACCAAGGACTAGGGGGAGGGGCGATGGAATGCACGTTCGAATTTGTTGGTGTTATCAAGGCATTAATATTTTTTTCTACTACTGAATTATTGGTATTACTAGCAATTGCACTTATTGAATCACTTTGATTTGTATTCATGGATGACGTTAAAGTTTCGGCTGTAGTGACATAAGTATTAGAAAAGCGAATATGAGGGTGCAGATATGCTCACCAATACCAAATTTTTGTTTTGGAGGTCGAGTTATTAATGGCGAAATTCTTGCCAGCTCCGGCGATGGCTCTTTCTTTCTTCCATATTCATTGGCAGCAATTGAAGTTATCAAAGAAGAATTCTTTTGTACAATGTCGTCAACCGGGGTAGGCGATTGTGAGCAGTTAAGTTTAAGGGTTAGTTTCGGTACAAACGGTTGCGTCGAACTAGTTATATTCGGTATATTTTTTTATGCACCACCAAACAAAAACACAATGTTAGTAGATTTGGTAACGCCACCCATTTTTTTTGAATCCATAACTTACGTTATGTTGGCCTGTTTGATAGAATCCTTGATCAGCTTTTTTTTATTTAGAAAAGTAAAATTTTAAAATAAAATAAAAATAGCCAGAAATTTCCCTTTTTTTTTCTTTTCTCTAAGTACTTCAAAATGTATATATGTATGTATGATACTAATGACTTTTTTTAGCATGTCAATATTTATTTTATACACCAAGAATCAAATGGTGGAAAAGCTGATTTTTTTGTTTTTTATCCAGTTATATAACGACCTTCTTCCTGGATGTAGATATTAGGCGTAGTAAAAGTAGTCAATTATTTTTCCAATATATGTTCTTTTTTATCTGTTAGTGTTAGAAAGATGACATTTCGTACTAAACAAGATTTTCTAACGGTTTTGTTTGAGCCTACGTCTAATTTTTTTAATATGCTATATTATACAGTTTTTCTTCGATTAGGGCGAAAACGCAAGCCAGTTTTTTTAAAATGTGAATGACGTTTATAATCGTGATTCGTTACAGTCAATGATGCACAATTTTTTTTTTATTCCATTAATTTTGATATAAGAGATGCTTCACGGAGTGAAAGGTCTATGGATGAAAATATCGATAATATTATGGACATTTTCGAGTCCTGTTTTGATTGCCAAGAGCTTTTTTTTGCACAAAAACCGTTTTGAACCATTTGCAAAAAGTTGGATAATAAAAGAAAAAATTAAACCATTGAATTTTATGTTAAACTAATGGATGTATTTTTAATACACCTAATATGTTTTTTTATTATTAAAAGTTAATATCTTGCTGCTTTGCAGTAACTCAATATATTAGGCATTTTTTTGTCTTGATGTTGTTCCAAAAAAACGGAGGGACCTACAGCTCATACTAACGCCTTTTTTTGGCTGATTGTTTTTATGAGGAGCTTTATTTAATGTCAGAAATACACTCGGAGTTTTTTTCATTCCCTGCCGACAGGCGACCGCGAATAGAAAATTTAGCTGAATTTTTTAATTTTTTTAGTGTTAGTACGACACCAGGATTTAAACCAGAGCTTTCCTAATGGCAGTACGTTTTTTTAACCACTCGGCTACCGTGGCCGTCGACATGAAATTAAATTTCTGATAAAAATAAATCCCCAGGCGGAAGTGGCTAAGAATACACTGTAGACCCCTCAACCTTCGACTTGTTTGAAAAACATCAAGACGCAAAACCAAAAATTGGAGAAGGAGATGTGCCGAAAATCGCTTCAGCGGCCATTCATATAGTTCTACATAATTTTATACTTTTTAATAAAAAAAATTTCATTCAAGGAGGAGGAGGAGCTCGGCCGAAGCTCGCTTTAGCGGTTATAAAGGCCTATTATATACATTTACACATACATACATATATTAGAAATAGCTTAACTTAACTTAACAAAAGCTATCGTTTAATGCAAATGCAAATGATTCTTGGGGTTAAATGTTATTTGGTAGCACTGGGATGTAATAACAAACCAAAACCTTTGAATTTGCGATTAATAAGTCGCCCAAAAAATATATTAATTATTAATTAGATTTTAAAGTAGTAGTAGTAAGTTGATTGCGATTCTAGACCGTAACCTCTTACTCAATACCACTATTTTTAGTATGAACACCCCCTATGTTATTTGGAAATAATATCATACCTGCTTATTTTTTTTTTTATCTTTCTTCAGCTTTTTCAATAAATCTTTCTTAATTTCCTGCTGATCTTCATTACAATGTAAGGCTTCTTTAAGTTTATCTTTACAACTCTTTTCGCTCCAATGTAGACCCTTATCAGGATGATCCAAGCGCTCTCTGTTTTTAGACCTCTTATCCTTTTTCTTTTTCACTTTGTCCTCTTTTTTTTCTCAGTAGTTCCATATTTAACGAAAAACCCTCGTTACCTTCTATGTTTGTAGATGATAACGAATTCTCAAATGCATTAGATGGGTAAATGTCTGCTTTTGATAAAGAGAATGAAGATGCGACGGTAGCTGTTAAACTGGTTGAGGGTATGGTTTTCGAAGAATATGCCGAACCAGTTGATATAAGAGGTATTAAATCGGATCCACCTGCTAATTTACCAACGCCACCTTTCTCCGTACTTAGCAGATGTAATTGAGGTAGATTATCCGTTGGAATAGAGATATAGACATGTAATCTTCCCTTTGAGGAAAAAGAAGATTTAATTCTTTACGATTATTTGAAGGTAGCATATCATGCACTGTTGTTGACGAGCATTCAATGGAATCATCAGAGAGCTCGATAGGATCATCTGTATTTAACATTGGTGTAAAGCTGTGTTAGTCAATGTATTTGGCGAAAACATACCACCAGAAAAGGCTTGATTTTCTGTACTTGCGTATGGAGATTTTTTTCTAAGTGAAGCTCGCAAGTTTTCAACGAAATACTACCTGTCGGTTTTGGTGTCGTCTTTTCATGTGTTTTCCAAATATCAGGTGTTTTCGGAATTTTTTCACCTTCGGTATTCGACTGCTGAAATTTAAAAGTTCTTGGGCAGTCTCTTTCTGACTTTTATTTCATATATTGGTGGTGAAAATTTCATCGATTCGGGAACAAACGGTGGTACATTGCAATAACTACGTTCTGCAGGGGGAGACTTCTACTCTGTTGGAAAGACCAGTAAGAGAAGGATCTGGCTTCACTTGGTATCTTCAATTGGTGCCAAGCATCGAGAAAAAGGAATGAATAGCGTGATGTTACGAATTCGGTTAATATCGCGTAGGCGGTGTCTACGCCAGTAAAGTAAGTAAGTAAACGTCCATTATGTCCAAATTAAAAAAAAAATTATATTTGCTCACATCATTTTATATTTGCTGTTTTAACCACCTGAATAGTTTAAGCGTGCTGGTGGCAGCATGCGGAGAAATTAAATAGATGATGAGTAAGTAATTAAATTGAAGTCAGTCCTGATTCCCTATGAATATACTTGCAAGCATTACTTGGTGTATTTGAACCATAATCCTCCGTTTTATATATAAAATGCACACAAATTTAATAACGATGAATTTTTCAATTGCAAAAAAGCACACAACAAAATCAAATTAATGGAAATTAGAACATGAAGGAAATAAACCACTAATTTATGTTTGGTATAGATTATTAAAGGCTTTGAAACATTTTTTTTTTAAATTGATGTGATAATACTAATACTACTTGTGAAATTTGAGTGAAAATTTGAGATTAATTACTCAAAACTGACATTTACTTTTTTTTATTCCGTTTTCGTTTTTTGTCAGTGGCATGGACACCTTTCTTGCGGGTTATGCAAACGCGACAAAACCAGTCTTCATTATCTTTCGGGGCAACAGATATTCCAACGCATATCCTAAAATAAATAAATAGAAATAACTAAGTTGACAAGTTTAACACAATGTACATACCAATGGTACCAGGCATCACAGCCATCACAGCCAATCATGGGAGAGCCGTCATCAACTTTGCCACATGCAGGGCAAATCCACACTCGATTACCCTCAGCATCCTTTTAAGTAACTTTACATAAGTCAAAATTCTGAGTTCTAATTCTTTTAACTTACGATATACGATGACGGACGGCTTGTCTCTGAAATCAAAGGAACAGGACTTTGATGATCGGCGGAGGAAAACTGACGAGAAGCGGTAGTTGCGTTTAAAATTAGCCCACCATCTGCACTACTGTTGTGACTTAGTTGCTCCTGGATCTTTGAAGATTGCAATAATTGCTGTGGGAGCAAAACTGAACTTGCTGATATTGTGCCACCTGACGACCAAGGACTAGGGGGAGGGGCGATGGAATGCACGTTCGAATTTTTTGGTGTTATCAAGGCATTAACATTTTTTTCTACTACTGAATTGTTGGTATTGCTAGCAATTGCACTTATTGAAGCGCTTTGATTTATATTCATGGATGACGTTAAAGTTTCGGCTGTAGTGACATAAGTATTAGAAAAGCGAATATGAGGGTGCAGATATGCTCACCAATACCAAATTTTTGTTTTGGAGGTCGAGTTATTAATGGCGAAATTCTTGCCAGCTCCGGCGATGGCTCTTTCTTTCTTCGATATTCATTGGCAGCAATTGAAGTTATCAAAGAAGAATTCTTTTGTACAATGTCGTCAACCGGGGTAGGCGATTGTGAGCAGTTAAGTTTAAGGGTTAGTTTCGGTACAAACGTTTGTGTCGAACTAGTTATATTCGGTATATTTTGTAACGCACCACCAAACAAAAACACAGTGTTAGTAGATTTGGTAACGCCACCCATTTCAATTGAATCCATAACTTGCGTTATGTTGGCCTGTTCGATAGAATCCTTGATCAGCTATATATGATTTAAAAAAGTAAAATTTTAAAATAAAAATAACTAGAAATGTAAAACAAACGGTCAACAGTTCCAAAAATTTCCCTGTTAAAATGTTTTCTCTAAGTGCTTCAGAATGTATATATGTGTGTATGATGCTAATGACGCTGTTAAGCATGTCAATATTTTTTTTATACACCAAGAATAAAATAGCTAAAAAGCTGATAAACATAAATATTTTGGTTTTTTTATCCAGTTATATAACGACCTTCTTCCTAGAAGTAGATATTAGGCGTAGTAAAAGTAGTCAAGTATTTTTCCAATATATGTTCTTTTTTATCTGTTAGTGTTAGAAAGATGACATATCGTAATAAAAAAGATTTGCTGACGGTTTTGTTTGAGCCTGCGTCAAATATGGACACTAGCAACTCTCACGACAGCCGGTTCTACGCACCGGAGTTGACCCGGATTTTATCCGGCCAAGGTCTGTCACCCTTTCGGCGACCTAACCCCGTTTAGGTCTACAGGTAACTTCAGTCTAAGTTCGCCAACGGAGCAATACCTCGCAGCTGGGTTGCTCCAAATCCTTCTGTCCAACCCTGGACAGACGGATTACTTCTGCAGCGTGTGACAAAGAAGACTCCACCATTCATCCACCTCGGTTAGATGCACCCAGTGCAATGGTTGGAGTCATCTTAAGACCTGCTCAGGCCTTAAGACCCACAGGGAATGGACCACGAGTTAAGTGGCCCGCTGTCAGCGCCCAACCGCCCCCCCCAGCCTCCACGGCAGTGCCTTCAACACACATACCCACTCTGGGTAATCTGCAGACCTCCACGGTCTTACGGAGCTCCCCGCAGCAGCCAACACACACCATCTTCACATCACTTTCTCACCCTCCGAATCACGAACGTTCCCCCGAGACAGAGCCGACTTCTACAATTTAACTGCAACGGACTCCAGGGAAAGATTGACGAGATAGTCGACTACATGAGCCGGGAGCACCTGTCAATTGCTGCGATCCAGGAAACCAAGTTGACCACCCGATCAGATCTTCGTCTCATCGATGGCGACATCGACCGCAGGGATACTACCCTAGAATGTTAGGGCATATCTATCCGGTCAGGCGATGTCGAGCTCGAAATATTTAATATATACATTCCTCCAGTTACAAGTTGCCCAGCTGGATACACCCCTGATATAGGTGCGCTACTCAGGGGCGAAAACTGTTAGGTTTTGGGCGACTTTAGCGCGCATCACGATCTTTGGCATTCTAGCCTGTCAAATGACCGTAGAGGAATGGAGCTGGCGGAACAGAACGATTCGACATTCTGCACAATGAACGAACACACCTACCAGGGTTAAGGGTAATTGCCAAAGCTCGCCAGACATAACAATTGCGAGTGCTGGTCTGATAAACAGTATAGTCTGGCGACCTACACTGACGTTAGCATCGGACCACTTGCCCATACAAATCTCGATTGACAGGCCTCCCGACTTTTCCGCGGACCACCGGACATTTGTTAACTTTAAAAAAGCTAACTGGCCGAACGCCTACAGTGCTCTTCCCACTCCAACTGACGTCACCGCTGCCGCCCGCTTCATCCCGGCAGGCCGAATCGCGGAAAGCGGTGGTACTAGCAACCAGGCGCGACACCCTCCGAAGCTCCGATCCCGGAAATCCCCTAATCAGGGATTTAAACACGGAGATTCGAAGAGTTGTTAACAGTCATAAGCGGAAAAAGTGGGAGGAGCACCTAAGGACCTGCAACCTCACCTCTGGGGCAATTAAGCTCTGGGCTACAGTCAAGTAGCCGTCTAATCCGACGAGACACGATGACCGGGTGGAAACTTCATTCGGTGGTCGCGCCTCGTCGGACCCGAAGAGATGCGCGAGCTATTTTAGCAGACTTTTTACATTGCATCCCTCGGTAGACATAGCGAAACGACGTGTGACCCGCCGCATGCGCAAACTGCCAAACACCAGCGCGGTGCTTGATTTCTCCAGGGAGGAGGTTCAGGGGGTCATCGGGAAGGCGAAAGCCTCCAAATCCATCGGCCCCGACGGAATAAGCATGCTGATGCTGAAACGTATGGACCAGCGGGAGCAGGATTTCTCACGAGGGTCCTCAATTTGTCTCTGACCACCCTGAAGATACCCGACGTGTGGGAAATGGGTAAAGTGGTCCCGCTACTTAAACCGGGGAAACCAGCCAACAAAGGAGAGTCCGTTCGGCCGATAACTCTTCTCTCCCCAGTAGCGAAGACACTTGAGGCCTTACTGCTCCCGACCTTCACTCACCATCTGCGTCCAGCAGCGCATCGGCATGGCTTCCGAAAAGTGCACAGCACCACAACAGCACTTAACGCCATAAAACACCCAGATAGTCCATGGCATCAACCAAAACCGACCCTGCGCGCGAACTGTCCTAGTAGCACTGGACTTGCCAAAAGCTTTTGACACAGTCAATCACTCAGTGCTACTAACGGACATTACCGCCGGGGTTGCAGAGGTGGGTCATGGGCTACCTGAGTGGTCGACAATCATCGGTAATATTCCGAGGTATAACATCTAAACCCAGAAAAATTAAACAAGGGGTTCCGCAGGGTGGTGTCCTCTCCCCGCTACTGTTTAACTTTTACATATCGAAAGACCCTCCACCACCAGAAGGAGTTTCCCTAACCTCGTATGCCGATGACTGTACGATAATGGCGTCCGGCCAGGATATTGATGACCTCTGCTCGAAAGTAAACAGCTTCCTCGCTGATCTCTCCCACTTCTTCACTGCAAGACAATTACGAATCCAACCGATAAAATCCTCGGCTACCTTTTTCACCAGCTGGACGAAGGAATACAGGCTTGAACTGGATGTAAAGGTCGATGACACAAAAATTCCGAAGATAAATAACCCAAAAATATTGGGAGTAACTCTAGACAGCCTGCACTCCTTCACTCCGCATACGACCGAAATTGCCGCAAAACTAAATAGCCGCAACAATACTCAAAGCGCTAACACCCTGCGGGTTAGGGGCTCAAGAGTTTACCCGCGGTAAGGCATGCCTGTCGTAAGAGGCGACTAAAATCCAATAGTTCTCGCGACAGTCGGGTCTTTATACCGGAACGACCCGGATTTTTATCCGGCCAAGGACTGTCACTCCCGCAACATTCCCCAAAAAGTACTTTGGGGAATAACTTTGCGGTTACAACAACAACAACTCAAAGCGCTAGCCGGCAGCAAATGGGGTAAAGATAAAGAAACTTTGCTGGCTACTTACAAAGCAATTGGCCGGCCGGTCGTAAACTATGCTGCACCGATCTGGACGCCTGGAGAAGAACGAGACGCAGATGAAGAAGCTACAGGCTTGCCAAAACACCGCCCACAGGATTGCGACAGGAAACCTCCTGATGTCGCCGGAGCATCACTTGCACAGGGAAGCATCTATGCTACGAGTTAAGGAGCATAAAGCTTTGCTGTGCAAGCAGTTGCTATTGGGATGCTACCGCAGGGAGCACTCCAGTAGGCACCTAATAGAGGCTGAACCTCCACCTAGGCACATCAGAAAGGGAGTACTAGACTTTAAGGACACAATCCAGCAACACACAAAACAACCGCTGGACAGGACGGCGTATCGACAAGCACTGAACGCCATTCACCAGAAGTCAGTCAACACCTTCATGGACTCCCTTTCAGTGAATGGCGTACTCGGAGAAATACCACCACCCATAGCAGACAACGAGCTCGAGCTGCCTCGAGAGACCCGCGTGACCCTGACACAACTCAGGTCTGGATATTGTAGCAGGTTAAACTCCTACCTATCCAGACTAGACCCCAGCATACCTAACGTATGCCCGGCATGTGGAGAGTCCCCGCACGACACTAACCACCTCTTCACATGACCCCTCAAGCCCACTCATCTAAACCCCCTCTCCCTTTGGTCCAACCCCGTCGAAACAGCTCGTTTCCTTGACCTACCATTTGATGACCTCGGCGACTTAGACTGAACAAGCGGGGTTAGCGAACCGCTACAACAACAACAACAACATGGACACTAGCAAGAAGCAAATATGCTATATTTTACAGTTTTTCTTCGATGTGGGCGAAAACGCAAGCCAGGCGGCTGAAAATGTGAATAACGTTTATAATCCTGATTATTAATTTTGAGCTAAGAGATGCTTCACGGAGTGAAAGGCCAATGGAATATCGATAATATTATGGACATTTTCGAGTCCGGTTTTGATTGCCAAGAGCTAACCATTGCACAAAAAACCGTTTTGAACCAATTGCATAAAGTTGGATAATAAAAGAAAAATTAAACCATTCAATTTTATGTTAAACTAATGGATGTCTTTTTAATACACCTAATATGTTTGTTAAATATCTCACATTAAAAGTTAATATCTTGCTGCTTTGCCGTAACTCAATAATAGGCAATTTTGCGTCTTGATGTTTTTCCAAAAAACGGAGGGACCTACAGCTCATACTAACGCCTCCGAACGGCTGATTGTTTTTTTATAAGGAGCTTTATTTAATGTCAGAAATACACTCGGAGTGGTTGACATTCCCTGCCGATAGGCGACCGTGAATAGAAAATTTTGCTGGATTTTTTAACTTGTTCAGTGTTAGTACGACACCAGGATTTAAACCAGAGCTTTCCTAATGGCAGTACGCAATGTTAACCACTCGGCTACCGTGGCCGTCGACATGAAATTAAATTTCTGATAATAATAAATCCCCAGGCGGAAGTGGCTAAGCATACACTGTAGACCCCTCAACCTTCGACTTGTTTGAAAAACATCAAGACGCAAAACCAAAAATTGGAGAAGGAGATCTGCCGAAAATCGCTTCAGCGGCCATTCATATAGTTCTACATAATTTTATACTTTTTAATAAAAAAAATTTCATTTAAGGAGGAGGAGGAGCTCGGCCGAAGCTCGCTTTAGCGGTTATAAAGGCCTATTATATACATTTACACATACATACATATATTAGAAATAGCTTAACTTAACTTAACAAAAGCTATCGTTTAATGCAAATGCAAATGATTCTTGGGGTTAAATGTTATTTGGTAGCACTGGGATGTAATAACAAACCAAAACCTTTGAATTTGCGATTAATAAGTCGCCCAAAAAATATAATAATTAATAATTAGATTTTAACGTATACTACTACTACTTGATTGCGATTCTAGACCGTAACCTCTTACTCAATACCACTATTTTCAGTATGAACACCCCCTATGTTATTTGGAAATAATATCATACCTGCTTATATTTTTTTTTTTTATCTTTCTTCAGCTTTTTCAATAAATCTTTCTTAATTTCCTGCTGATCTTCATTACAATGTAAGGCTTCTTTAAGTTTATCTTTACAACTCTTTTCGCTCCAATGTAGACCCTTATCAGGATGATCCAAGCGCTCTCTGTTTTTAGACCTCTTATCCTTTTTCTTTTTCACTTTGTCCTCTTTCAACTTTTTTAATCTTTTATGATCTTTCTTTTTTCTTAGTAGTTCCATATTTAAGGAAAAAACCTCGTTACCTTCTATGTTTGTAGATGATAACGAATTCTCAAATGCATTAGATGGGTAAATGTCTGATTTTGATAAAGAGAATGAAGATGCGACGGTTGCTGTTAAACTTGTTGAGGGTATGGTTTTCGCAGAATATGCCGAACCAGTTGATATAAGAGGTATTAAATCGGATCCACCTGCTAATTTACCAACGCCACCTTTCTCCGTACTTAGCAGATCTAATTGAGGTAGATTATCCGTTGGAATAGAGATTTTATTTTTCGAATTCTTAATAAATTTATTAGTCTTTTTTGACTTCTTTTGATCTCGACAACTCGTTGGGTCATTTGATATAGACATGTAATCTTCCATTTGAGGAAAAAGAAGATTTAATTCTTTACGATTATTTGAAGATAGCATATCAAGCACTGTTGTTGACGAGCAGTCAACTGAATCATCGGAAAGCTCGATAGGATCATCTGTATTTAACATTGGTGTAACTATAGAAGATTTTACTAAAGCTGTGTTAGGCGATGTATTTGGCGAAAACATACCACCAGAAAAGGGTTGATTTTCTGTACTTGCATTTGGAGATTTTATAGGAAGCTCACTTTGCAAGTGAGGCTCGCATGCTTTGATCGGAATACCACCTGTCGGTGTTGGTGTTGTCTTTTCATGTGTTTCCCAAGTATCAGGTGTTTTTGGAATTTTTTCACCTTCGGTATTCGACTGCTGAAATTTAGAAGTTCTTGGACAGTCTCTTTCTGACTTTTTTATTTCAGATATTGGTGCCAATTTCATCGATTCGGGAACAAACGGTGGTACACTGCAATAGTTACGTTCTGCACTCCGTTGTGATAAAAAAGGATCCAGATAATTAGGGGGAGATTCTAGCAAACGAAATATAAAAACAAATAAATAATTATCTACACAGTTAGCTGGAAATGAAGATGCTTAAAAAGTGTAACAGTTCTTTTTGAAATCAGAGTAAGAATCAATAACAGTAAACTCAAACACATCTGTATATATAAAATTGTCACTTTTTTTGGTTACTTTTTCGGAACGGCATGTCCGAGAATTATTGGCTTATGGTACAGTTTTCTTAATATTTAAGATGTTCACAACGCAGTGTTATTATTCTGCAGCTGCGGGTTAGAAGCTATTCTTATATATTTAACTTGTTATGCATAAGCATATATATATTTTGTTGTTGTTGTAACCACAAAAAAGTCACAACAGCTGTTTTCGGGGAATATTGGAGAAGTGACAGTCCTCTACCCAAAAAAAAAATCCGATATAAAGATTCGACTGGCACGTGGACTCTTAGTATTTTTTTTATTGTTTCCTGGAAATTTAAGAGGAATCAGGTACCGAGATATCAAACTGCGTAAAACTTATATTCATTATAATCTTGTCGTTAGGAATAACCGACTGATATTTGAGCTGTAAACAGATGCAAAGACATTCAACGCGAGTATGACATTTCTTTCACCCTGATGGCCAATCAATCGTGCACCCATATTCTGTTTTTGTATTATCGGTCGCAGCACAAAAAAAAAAAAGAAGTTGTGTTTTCTGTTCTCATCAGTGATGCCGCTACACACAGTTTTACGCGCTCAATATTTAATTAAATAAAAACAATTTGAATTAAATAGCATTATGAATGTATTGTAGATTTATCACTATCTTGTGGAGCAGTTTATACAGTTAAGTCTCACAATTCGCTTTGGCAGTTATAGAGCCGCCAATGCTCGAGATACTTAAAAAACAATTTTTTTTTACTCACTGGCTACCAGTAATAGCTAATTTTTGATAGGTCGTATAATATTGGAACTTAGTGTTTGCATAAGTCCCTATTTTCGACAATAACAACTATTTCTTTGCCTCTTCCAAAATATCCGGATTTGTGTTAAATGAACAGCATTTGCAGGAAGTTTCGATATTCGATTTTAATTGGAAGAAAAGTGCAACGCAAACGGCAGTTCACTTGTCGCTTTATTTTGTCGACCGAAGGGTGAAGCGTAAAAAGTCAATCAGGGGTGTTATAGAAGCCGACCCAGAATTGCTTAATTGTCGGAATTGAAAATTAATATCTGTTTGAAATAGTGTTATGAAACCAGTTTGAATTTACTTTTATCGAAGATAAGTAACACGGATATCATTGTCATTACATTTGTGCAAAAAATCCAGCAATACAATTTAGTTTTTGTACTGGTATTAAGACATCTATCATTATTAAAAATTAAAAGACTTCGGAAATGATAGCATTTTTGATGAGAAATAATCCAGAAAATAAAGCGCAAAATCGTAAGGAATGGTTGCAATCCGCTGGAGCAGCCAGAGTCGATGTAAGTGTAATTTGCATTCTTTTTTTCACAATTGCTGATACAAAATTTGTTTGTATGTAGATTCACAGACAAATATCGCCTTAACAAAGAAATCTTTGTAATAGTGCTGGATGTTATTGAAGACCAGTTGCATAGATAGGCTGTTTGTCATACATGTGTTCAACTTGCAGTCTCACTGCAGAAGGCTGCTATTAACGATCTCTGGGACTCGTATATCTCCTTAGCGCGGCCTACAGCATCGGTGGCTATAACAGAAGTGCCAAAGGCTCTTGGACGTTTCATTTGCCTACGCTGGATAGTTAGGAATGAAGGACAATGGAACGGAGAGCTTGTGACCATCTTTACTTCAAGTAATGCGGTATTGCTGGTTTTAAAATCCATTGCTCATGACTTACATTTTACACACTAACCACCTCTTCGCATGCCCCCTCAAACCCACTCATCTAACCCCCCTCTCCCTTTGGTCCAACCCCGTCGAAAAAGCTCGTTTCCTGGACCTACCACTAGATGACCTCGGCGACTTAGACTGAACAAACCTGTGCCTGAGCGGGGTTAGCGAACCGCTACAACAACAACAACTGCTCAACTGCTAGCACAACAAAGCATTATGCTCCTTAACTCGTAGCATAGATGCTTCCCTGTGCAAGTGATGCTCCGGCCACATCAAGAGGTTTCCTGTCGCAGTCCTGAGGGCGGTGTTTTGGCAAGCCTGTAGCTTCTTCATCTGCGTCCCGTTCGTCCCCGGCGTCCAGATCGGAGCAGCATAGTTTACGACCGGCCGGCCAATTGCTTTGTAAGTAGCCAGCAAAGTTTCTTTATCTTTACCCCAGGTGCTGCCGGCTAGCGCTTTGAGTATTTTGTTGCGGCTCTGGAGTTTTGCGGCAATTGCGGTCGTATGCGGAGTGAAGGAGTGCAGGCTGTCTAGAGTTACTCCCAATATTTTTGGGTTATTTATCGT